GCAGGCGCAGCACAGCAGCCGCCGCAGCCAGAGCGGCCACGGCTGCGCGAGCGAGGGCTCGCAGCGCGGCGCGGCCGGGAGCTGAGGGGCGGCGGCGCCCGCCGCAACAGCCGAGTCGAGCCGAGCCGAGCGCGCAGCCCGACCGCCGCCGCCGCCTCGCAGATAGCATCACAGCAACAAAGAGCTCGCTGAGCGGAGAGCGGCGGCCGCAGCTCGCCAGGGAAGCCCCGCGTCAGCTCCGGGAGCTGCGCGGCAGACTGAGGAAGCGCGCGGGGCGTCTGAGGGCGGTCAGGGGGCGGAAGATGGCCAGGAAGAGAAAGCCCCGCAGCCTTAAGGGTGAGTCCCTGTCCGTCTCCGCCTCGCCGCCGACTGTATCCCACCTGCGACCAGGTCTGCCCCTAGGGCCGGCCTGTTTATAACCAGGCTCTGCCAAGTGCAAGGCTGCTGCCGGCGCGAGTTTGCTCCGGGAGGTGGAGACCTCAGCGCGGCTCCCTCCCTCAGCCTCCGGGGACACTCGGGCAGGAGTTTGTCCCTTTTGTAACCTGGGGAGACCTGGAGACTCTTTTCTCTCACGCCACTCCTGTCTGACTCCAGGAGCTTGGGTCTCTGTTGCACCGTAGGCTCTCAGGGCTGCGGGCGGAGAAGGGACAGCATTCTCCCAACTGCTCATCCCTTCCAGAATCTCTCTCTCTCTCAGAGATTTTTCATAATCTTTTCTGTTTTCTCCTCCCAATGCTTCGCACTCTGCTTACTGCAACAAGTTCTGCATGTTTCCCCAGCCTCCATCCTCAGGAGGAAAGCAGAGCTTTTCCCCCGGACGGTGGAGGAGACCGGCTACTGGCTGCACGCCTGAAGGCTACTGCCCCCCTCCCACCCTTTCCAGGCTGGCTGTGACTAGGACTGAGCTGTCCCCCTGTTGCTCCTTTAGAACCAGGGCATCCAAAGTTGGAAAGTTCTGAGGAGAGAAGCGATGGCAGGGAGGACCAGGAGGAGCTCCTTGCTGGGGTGACTTGCATGGCAGCGTGGGCCGGGAAAGAACTCTAGGGGAGTCTCCTGGGCGGTGATCTGCCGAGGGCTTCCCGGGGACTCGCAGAGCTCCTCGCGCTGGGAGCAGGTGCACCGCCGCCCGCGCCCGCGCCCGCGCCCGCGCCCGCAAGGCTCGCTCGCAGAGATTGGTACTCGTTTGCTCCCTGGCGCTCCCTGGCGCTCCCTCGAGCTCCCCGGCTCGCGCTGGGAACCTGCAATTCCCGAGAGGTTGCTTCCAGCTCTACGAAGAGGTGGAAGCTGGCTCCACAGCCAGCGCGGTGACGAAGGGGCTGGGTGCTGTCGAACCAAACCTGAGGGTAGGGACAAGGAGGAAGGGGCGGTGTTTGAAGTTAGATTTCAACCCAAAGGGCTCGTCGGCTCGGGAGGGGGAGACTCATTGCGCCTTGGGGCTATCTAAAATAAGACCTCGACTCTGAGATGGGAACTGGGAGCTGCGGGATGTTGAAGAAATCTGCTTCGTCTACGCGGCGGCGCTGCGGGCTTTGGAGTGCTTCTTGCTTCCCGCCCCCTCCCTTCCCAATCTTGCCTGCGGGAGCTCAGCTCCGCTACAGAGGTCACTAGGGGAACCCAACTTTATCTTGGTGCTTCGACTTGCTCTTTAAATGCTCCTCAGTTCTCAAATCTTACTGGAAAGGGTTTAACATCACGATTCTTAAATTTTTAGAAGACATTACCACTAAGCAGCTGGGATTTTTTGTTGTTGTTGTTGAAACTGTAACCTATGTAAAACAATTATATTGTAATGTATTTCCCTAAATTATTTTAGCTTCCATAGAATAAGAGAGGCCTAAAACATCTGATTCTTCCCCCTCTGCACCATGAATTAGCACATGTCTATAAAGGTAAATGAATAAAGAAAGAAAATATTCATCTACAGTTCACATCTTGATCATGACATCAAAGAATTAGTCTAAACCCAGATTGACCAGGTGTGTTGGCTATATCTGTGTTTCACTCCTTTCTTATGGAACCATATAGCACCACGAGGGAAACAGAAGGATTGGGTTTTCACCTCTGCTGATATGACTATCTATTGGCAGGAGCTCATTTCATGCCCACCCCAAACCTGGCCAATTGTAAATGGGCTATGAAGGGTGGAAAACATTTCACAGTTTTACAGTACATGGTAGCTGGAGACAATTCTACCCTTGAAATTAATAATCTTTGCGGAAGCTCAGAGAGATGCAAAACAAGACCAAGTGAATGAGAAGCCAGCTAATATAAGAGCTTAGTGAAAAACACACCTCCCTTTTACTCCTCCCTCCTCTTGAAACACTAAGAAGTTTTTGTTTTCTATGCCATGATGGAATTGGGTGTATTTTCTTGAATTTAATTTGATAGTGAAATAATTAAAGGGTAACACTTAAATAGAGCTTTCCCCCACTAAATTATTAATTTTTTCCTCAAAGAGTTAATAATAAACATTCCTGGGACAAGCAGTCTCAAGAAATTTCACTGTAGTTCCTTAAAAATAAGATTTATCACTATGTGTGTTTTTCTTAGAGGAAAGTCATGTTATTTAGCTCCTGCTGACTTGTGTTTTTCCTCTCTCTCTCTGCTAATGTTTTTCTTTTTGAAAACAGTTCACTTAGAACAAAGATACCTTTAAAAATCCTTTTAGTTTCACTTTAGCAAAACAAGATTAATGTGAAATTTTATAAATGGCAGAAGCCAGCCTGGGTAGTTGTAATCCATGCACTTGCCTCAATTTTGCCTTTGAAGAAGAGAGGGCCACAAAAGCACCTGACCGCAAGCTTGCAGAACTGCTCTCAGACATCTGCTTCTAAGCAACGACCAACTAAACCAGGACCGCCCAGAATAAAACAAAATTTCTAGGCCTTTCTTTTTTGGAGGGGGGGTGGTGAGGGCAGGCTGCTGGGGATGAGCCTTGCTAAATGATAACTGTAGATTTAGCGATATTTCATGCTGTATTGGTTATGCTTCTCTACTTAGCTACACTGCATATGGGCAGAAATCATTTGTTGGGTCTTGTGACAGGCAAGCTGCTCATTGGCTTCTGAAATCCTAGTAGTAGAGACTATATATCTATACCAGGTAGAAATTGGCTGAAGGAAAATGCAGTTTCTTAACTTGGCTAAAGAATAAAACCCTTTGGTAGGATTTCTCATGGGATATTAACGTGCATTTTTGACATCTCATCCAAAGGACAGCTTTTCAGAAAGGCAAATGTGATCTTTACTGATCCAATATTTATAATATTTTAAACAAAAATACTGTAATCCATGATGAATAAAAATCTTTAAATCCAAGTTAGTTACATTGGTTTTGGTGATACTAACACCCTCTCCAAATTGGTTCAACAGAACTTCTAACCCAATTACTTGTTTAAAGGTTAAAGTATGTGCTTGAGTTCATATATTCACTCATTCATTCCAAACACACTTATTGAACACTGAATATGTACCAGGTTCTTTGCCAGATACTGTGGTTACAATGATGGACATGATAGCCAATGAAACATACGTTAGGAGGGGGCCTAGAAGGGGGATGTAAACAAAGTACATGAACCAGAAATTTTCACACGGTGATTAATACAATGAAGACATAAAACAGGATGATGCACTAGAAAATGATTGTGAGGTTACTGGACTTTCTGAAAATATGACATTTGCATTGACAGAAAAATGAGCATAGTAAGTTGCCTGCTGAGGACTGAGCAACACCATTGCAGGCCTTAAGGCAAGAATGACGTTGCAGCTCAGTATGTTTGGGACAGACACAAGTCCCATTTGGCTGAAGCGTAGCGTGTGAGGTGGAGACAGGTAAGGAGCAGTTGGATCACTTTGGCCCTGAAAAGCAGTGTAGATTTTATTTTTAAGTGCAGTGGGAAGCTACTGAATACTCCTTCCAAGTTTGGGGCTACCTTCCTATCCTTGGGGATGATTTCAAGAAAAATAGCTTTCCTAGATCAACTCCCTAGGCTGAGTAAGGCAACCCAACAGACTTCGGTTTACTAGAAATTCCATTTCTTTCTTCTTCTTCTTCTTTTTTTTTCTTTTTTTTTTTTTTTTTTTTTTAATTTTTTGACAGGTAGAGTGGACAGTGAGAGAGAGAGAGACAGAGAGAAAGGTCTTCCTTTGCTGTTGGTTCACCCTCCAATGGCCGCCGCGGCCGGCATGCTGCGGCCAGTGCACGGCACTGATCCGATGGCAGGAGCCAGGTACTTATCTTGGTCTCCCATGGGGTGCAGGGCCCAAGCACTTGGGCCATCCTCCACTGCACTCCCTGGCCACAGCAGAGAGCTGGCCTGGAAGAGGGGCAACCTGGACAGAATCCAGCGCCCTGATGGGGACTAGAACCTGGTGTGCCAGTGCCGCAAGGCAGAGGATTAGCCTAGTGAGCCGGCTAGAAATTCCATTTCTAGTCACAGATCCTGTCTCACTATTTACCAAAACACCTAACATATTTGGGCTGAGATATTTATAACATCTCCAGGAATCTGTTTAATAAGATTCTGTAGAGAATGAGGAGTAATTCAGAGTGTTAGTAGGAATGATTGGATTAGGCACCCACTTAGAGAGCCTCTCAAAGCAGGTAAGTCTTAGGAAAAATATGTTGTAATGGTAGGAGAGGTCCAGAAGGGTCTGGAATGTGGCTGTGCAGAAGATAGAATGCGGAAGACAGCTTGAGGGGCTCCTAGGTAACAGAAAGGAGTCTATGAAAGGAAGGGAAAAGTTGAAAGGTTGAGAAAGCGTACATGGGAAAGCCTGTAAGATAACATCAGCCAGTTCATAATTTTGCCAAGAGAAGAGAAGTCAGATGTAAGAGTGTTGCCAAAGAAATACTCCATTCAAGCACAGAGGAAGATCAAATCAGGGTACCATGTATGCTTTAATCTTTTACTAGAGAAGGTTTAAAACAATAAAAGCATTAAGGCCTTTAAAAGATCTCCTTGAGTTTTATTTGATTATTGTTGGGTTATCCTTAGGAATTACAGACCTCATAGATGAAAATATTATGCTGACTACCATTTGCTGGTGATAGCTGCACGGCAGCGTGGAAATTATGCTCTTGGGTTTCAGATCTTACTATGGAGGTGGTAATAAGGAGGAAATGAGGTTTGCTGGATGACTTTCTTCCCTTGAAGCATTTGTGACTACATGATGCCATGATTGTTGGAAAGGTTTAAGTAGTAATTGATTGTTTTAAATCATCCTACTGCTATCCACTTCCAAACTGCTTCTTTGCCAAGGATTAATAATGAGATATATACCAAGCTTCAGGGCTTTGTTCACTCCCTTCTTCCTCTTTCTTTGGACTCCAAGCAA